CTCACTTAGCTTTTTAGTTACAGCATAATTCACTTATGGTTTAACTGAACATATACAACTGTTACAAGTTTTTAACTACTATGTTAGCCTACAATTAAGTATGGCCAAGAGTGAATTAAGTCACATTTCACTGGTTTTTCATATTCTACTACAATGAATAGTTGAATTATCAGTTAAAATGGATTTTTCCCCATCGGTACTACCTATTGTATAAGTGAAAATTCCAACAGAAGAGTGCTGACAAAAGTCTACACTCTCAAGTATTTCATGTACCCTGATTTTAGACCATTCTGTCTTAAGAAATTTCAAGATTTCTGCCTGTACTTGTTCAAAAACAAAAAAAGAAAAAAAAAAGAAAGAAAGAAAATTAGAAAAATAAAAAAAAAAAAAGAAATTTCAAGGGAGAAAAGAAAAATTCCTTTGGGGTAAGTGGTAAATATAAGTAGCTCTACCACCTGCCTCCCTTCCATTTAAGTTCCTGCTTCCAATTTTTCTTCATTCCAACTTCAGTCTTCAGAATCTTAGCAGAACTAAAAAAGAAGTTAAGGAAGGAAAGCAATGCTATAATTTGAGGATGATATTAAAAACCTGCTTCACTCAGAAATAAATCCACCCATTTACACCCATTTGATTTTCAACCAAAGTTGCCAAGAACATACACTGGGAAAAGGACAGTCTTCAACAAATGGGGCTGGGGAAACTGGATATCCATATGCAGAAGAATGAAACTAGACCCCCTAACTCTTGTCATATACAAAAATCAACTCTAAATAGATTAAAGGCCTACATGTAAGACCAAAAACTATGAAATTACTAGAAGAAAACATAGGGGAAATGATTCATGACATTTGTCTGGGCAAGGACTTTTTGGATAAGACCTCAAAAAGCACAGGCAACAAAAGCAAAAATAGTTGGGATTACATCAAACTAAAAAGTTTCTACACAGCAAAGGAAACAATCAACGAAGTAAAGAGACAATCTACAGAATGGAAGATAATATTTGCAAATTATACTACTCACACAGAGTTAACATACAAAATATATAAGAAACCCAAATAACTCAGTAGCATAAAAACAAATAATCTGATCAAAAATGGGCAAAAGACTTGAGTAGACATTTTTCAAAGAGAGACATACAAATGGCCAACATGTTGATGAAAAAATGCTCAACATCACTAATCATTTGGGAAATGCAAATCAAAACCACAATGAGATATCACCTCGCCTTAGTTCCAATGACTATTATCAAAAAGAAAGAAGATAAGTGTTGGTGGGGATGGGGAGAAAGGGGGAACCCTTTGTTGTGGGAAAGTAAATTAGTATAGCCATCATGGAAAATAGCATGAAAGTTCCTCAAAAAATTAAAAATAGAACTATCATATGATCCAGAAATTCTACTACTGGGTATATTACCAAAGGAAAGGAAATCAGTATGTTGAAGAGATATCTTCACTCCACTGTTTATTGCAGCACTATTCACAATAGCCAAGATATGTAATCATTCTAAGTGTCTATCACTGGTCATGAATGGATAAAGAAACTGTGGCATATAAATATACAATGGAATACTATTCAGCCATAAAAAAGAATTAAATCCTGCCATTTGCAACAACATGGATGAACCTGGAAGACATTCTGTTAAGTGAAATAAGCTAGGCACAGCAAAACAAATATCAATGATCTCACTCATTGACTGCTGAATCTAAAAAAAGTTGATTTCATAGAAGTAGAGAGTAGAATGGTGGTTACCAGAGGATGGGGTGTTTAGCAGAGAGAAGGAATCAGGAGATGGTGGTCAAAGGATACATAGATGACTATAGTTAAAGATGATATATTGTATTATTGAAAAATGTAAAACCTGCTCTCACCCCAAAAGGGTAACTATGTGAGGTAATGCATTTGTCAATTAGCTAGAGTTAACCATTCCATAATGTGTACATACTTCAAAACACCAAGTTGTTCACAGTAAAAATATACAGCGATATCTGTCAAAAGAACTATTTCTACTAGAGTTAGCACATGTCAATATGGTGCTAAGCAACCCCCAAAATGCAAAAATTCACTGGGCTACAAAGACTAAAAGAAAATAATGATAATTTCCCTTTATTGAGGGCTTACCATATGTCTGGCAATGTACTTAATTAACATAGATTTGGCTCATTTTATTACTACAACAATCCTATAAGATGGTGTGATGATGTGGTCTTAAGTGTCAACTTGGCTAGGCTGTAGTACCCAATTACTTAAATGCTAATCTAGGTGTTGCCATGAAGGTATTTTGTACATGAGGTTAACATCTGTAATCATTTGACTTTAAGGAGATTAGCCTTGATAATGTGTCCAATTAGTTGAAGGCCATAAGAGAAAAACTCAGGTTTCCTGGAGAAGAAATTCCACCAAGTGCAGCACCAAATCATGCCTGCTGGCCTGCCCTACAGATTTCAAGCTTGCCAACCCCCATATTCGCATGAGCCTATTCCTTAAAGTAAATTCCTGTCTATATATTATCTCTTTATGTTTCCTAGTGGTTGTTTCTGGAAAACCCTAAAATAGGTGGACACTGTTATTTTCCTCATTTTAAAAATGGAGAAGCTGGAGAGTAAGAATAATTTGTTGGCTTCAATAGCTGATAAGCGGAACCTGGACTCGGACCAGAAAATTTTGACTCCAGAGCCCTGCAAAATAACCACCATCCTATTGTGTGACTAAGGAAAACTGTGCTGGCTGGATATATCACTGGAGCTTTATATATAATTTTTTTCTAATTTTTAAAGGTTCATTAAAGTGCAGTGCATCTCTCCAGAGAATCGGGTAGCCCAGAAAGTTAACTGACTCATGACTGATAAACCGGGTATCCATCCATTCTTTTCAATTATCATGCTGCTATCCTCCCCACCATGCAACTCTTCATATCTCCTAAGTTTTTTGCTGTCCAGGTATTGCTATGGTCTAATTGTCCTTCCTGAACGAGCACATTCAGGGTCCTACTAGCAGAATATACAGTAGTCTTTTTAAAGAGACTGTTCTTTGGGCCAGGCACGGTGGCTCATGCCTGTAGTCCTAACACTCTGGGAGGCTGAGGCAGGAGGATTGCTTTGAGCTCAGGAAGTTCAGGACCAGACTGACCAAAAGCGAGACCCCATCTCTACTAAAAATTGAGAAAATTAGCTAGGCAACTAAATATAGAAAAAAAAAATCAGCCAGGCGTGGTGGCGCATGCCTGTAGTCCCAGCTACGAAGGAGGCTGAGGCAGGAGGATCACTTGAGCCCAGGAGTTGGAGGTTGCTGTGAGCTAGGGTAACACCACGGCACTCTAGCCCAGGCAACAGAGTGAGACTCTGTCTCAGGAGAAAAAAAAAAAAAAAGAGAGACTGTTCTTTGGAAGGTACAGCAGGGAAGCAGAATAGAGGGGATTCATTCAAAATTCCCCTAAAGGAGTTTTAATCTCATATCTAGCTGTTGTGGGCAAACAGCTGGAACTGCCTTATTGACTGTCTTGCCTGCTGGAAACCAGATTATGTTCTCAAACCTCCAGACCCGCATCATAACCCTGAAACCACACACACATGCACTACTCGCTGCAGAGGCCACCGTTTGATGGCGTTCATTCTGCAGAACTAAAATCACATAGTTTTCAAATTATAGATGAATTCAAGTTGTATAACCCTACTTGTATAACCAAATTAGGGTTGATGAAGAGTCAATACAGCAATACCTTTTTTTGTTGTTGTTTTTTGTTTTCTTTTTAGAAACAGGGTTTCACTATGTTGCCCAGGCTGGCCTTGAACTTCCAGGCTCAACGGATGTTCCTGCCTCAGCCTCCTTGAGTAGCTGGGACTACATGCATGTGCCACCACATTCGGCCAAAGCAATATTTTTAAAGAGGCTTCTAAGAAAGAATATATCGAGCTCTTGAAGTGGTGTTCAGCTGTGCAAAAAGTTCAGAATGGCCCAGGTTATAGGGCTTCAAAAAAATTAAAGAGGGTTCGAGAGAAATGAGATGGACCTAAAATGAATTCAACCTAAAATAAACTTAACTGCCTACTTAAGAGCAGTATATAAACATTTACTTGTAGGGAAGCTCTCGATTACACTATGAAAAAGTCCATGAATTCTCTGAGTCAGTGATGAAAGGAGCAGAAAAGAGAGAGAGGGGCCCGGGGAAGTGCAGGTGGCACTGCTGCCAGTTTGGTGGTCTGATAGGGTTTTTTGAGAATGATCACATTTATAAAATGGGGTTAAAACAATATTTTGACTAGTGATTGCACGTCTGAAAAGGGTATTAATTATTTTGGAATTTCCTCTAATGTTTAGATGCTTTGTGTTTTGAACACACTGATTGATTAGTTAATCTACAGCTGCTTCTGGGCGTTCAGCAATTTTCCCTGTCTTGTTGCTATGAGACAAGGACTTCCCTGCATTTGCCAATGTGACAGGCATGGCGAAGAGGTGGTGGGCTCTACCACCAGACAGTGCCACCAAGTGGTCATTCTGCAGAACTGTTAGAGAAAGTCAGTTTGTCTCCACTGTTTTCTAATTATGGCACTCTAAGGTTGTTGCCTTTGCAGATGAATTTGCAGGTTAAGTGAACAGTGTATTTATTTCATATTCCGTTACACACAGTGAGGATTTTTTTTAACCCAATAAATGAATCATGCCACAGCAAGCAGAATGGCAAAGTTGAAAGAATATTGAACTGGCTGGGGCTGGGTGCAGTGGCTGGCCCTGTAATCCTAGCACTCTGGGAGGCTGAGGCGGGTGGATTGCTTGAGGTCAGGAGTTCAAAACCAGCCTGAGCAAGAGCGAGACCCCATCTCTACTAAAAAAAAAAAAAAAGAAAGGAAGAAATTATCTGGACAACTAAAAATATATAGAAAAAAATTAATGGGGCATGGTGGTGCATGCCTGTAGTCCCAGGTACTTGGGAGGCTGAGGTAGGAGGATCGCCTGAGCCCAGGAGTTTGAGATTGCTGTGAGCTAGGCTGACACCATGGCACTCTAGCCTGGGCAACAGAGTGAGACTCTGTCTCAAAAAATATATATATATTGAACTGGCTGCTAGAAGACATTTTAGTGTATCCCCAATTTCACCTCTCTTGGTCTTAATTTCCTCTTCTAATCAGTGATGGGCTTGTGCTAAGTCTCCCTACATCCCTTCTGCTCTAAAAATCTCTAATTCTTTGCTTCTTTTATATATGGTTCTTACATAGAAGCATAACCCTGAAGCAGATCCTGGTCAAGTAGCTCTAACTTAACTTGGTTATATTGCTTCAAAGTGAGTCTAAGCAAGTGGCAGCAAAGATGGGGGAGGGGGGTAATGTGCCCACTGTGCCCACCAGGAGAGAAAATCGCCAACCTTATCTGGCAACCTTATCTGCTCCCCACATGCTTGGTGGAGGTGGACCTGGATGAAATTGTCTTTCCTGAGCGAGCAGTCTGGCCCAGGGAATCAGCAGCCAGCATCTGGGATAAACCCATGATGGAAGGCTAACACAGAAGCAGATCTGGGCAGGATGTGCTTACTGACTCAGCAGCAGGCTGGGGGGACTAATGCTTTCACCGAAGATTAGAAGAAAGGGAGAAATTCAAATCCTACCTCAAAGGATGCATCCCTGTCCCTTCCCCTGACAGTTTATAGAAACCTGGAGCCAGGCAGAATTGCCTCTACTCTGAATCCTGCTCCCCACTGTCACCTTCCGTGAACTCCTGTTTGGAGGTTACATGAATCTGGATCCCGGATACACCTCGCTGTGTGCCTGGCAAGGAGGGTGGAGTAGATTTCTTATTCTCTCCAATAGCCTGTTTCACTGTGGCTTAATGCTGGTTCTTGCCAAGCAAATTTGAGGTGTGACAAATGCTGTTCTTGCGTTGCTGGGACTTAAGCAAATCTTCATCAATCGGTGCATTATATCTGATTTCTTCCAACTTCAGGATCCAGTGAGACACCAGGAATCCTAAATATTAAACTAAACTAAACAAAAATACAGTGAATTACCAACACCCTGAGAGAACGTAGCTGAATTAACACAGGACATGAGACTCTGGGGCTCTCTTGATTGTGATTTGATTAACACTTTTAATTTGTTATTATTTGGAGTAATAAAAAAGACTTTCTACAACAAGAGCTTATATGAGGTTGTGTCACTGAATTTACACCTGGAGTAAACTCACAGAAAATTAAAGACAGAATGGAGCTTAGAAATCACCTACTGTTGGTTAATGCAAAGGTAGAGAGTGATCTCTATTGATTGTCCACAGTCAGCTACAGATGGAACTCCTTGTTCTTCTCTGCCTCCTTCTCACTACTGCACTTGACTAGTCTTAAAAAAAAATCACCTAGTGTAACTTTTTTAGTTTAAACTGAGAGCTAAAAATATATAAAAATAAAACTGAAACTAATTTAACTTTTTACAATCTGACTCTAAAAATTAATGTTCCACTTAGAAACACAAAAATAAAACTACTATAGGTGCTTTTTGTATTTTTTTAAAAGTCTGAACCATAAAACTCAAGGGCCAATTAGGAGAATTATCTCACTCACTCTGTTGTTTTACAGAGCCATTTGCTGATGGGATAAGTAAGAATGTGAGGAGATGGAGAAAAAGAGAGAAGAGAAAATATGAGATACTCTCTTTATCTTTGGGATTTGTTGATTAAAGGAAGCGTCTCAACTTAAAAACACCAACTCGGTAAATATTTATAGATTAACTGTTTTGTTGTTGTTCTTTGCTCCAAATATCAAACCCAATCTTGTGTTGTTGCGCTGTGTCTATGAGGTGGAAGGGTACAGGCTTCCTTCTATATCTCAAACTTTCAGCACCCCAAGTCCAAGAATCTTCCCACAGCCAAGGAAAAGGTGAGGGCCAGCTCATTAAATTTCATCTAGACTCTTTCAGAGTGGCCAGATTCTCTTAGACCTTAGACTTCCACCAAAGCAGTGGTTAGGAGGCCCACTGAGGCCTGGATGGGTCTGGCCACTCGTGTTCTCTAAGGGAGACATCGAAATGTCAATGAAAGAGCAACAGACTTGCCGTTAGAAGACCTGAGTTTCAATACCAGCTCTGTCACATTCAAACTTGAGTAAGTCACATAACTTTAGAGTTCTAGTTTCCTCATCTATAAAACAGAGGTAATAATAAATATATTACAGAATTGTTGAGAGGATAAAATAAGATAATGTGTGTAAAATTGCTGAACAACTGGAGTTACTATTTGCAGCTCTTGTTAACTAGGGCATAAAAATGCACACCAGTCTTGTCTGTAAGCCCTTGATTGTTTAAATAAAAATATTTTTTAAGTGTGCTAGCTGGTCCTAGATTTGAAATAATAAGAGACCTGAAAACCAGAGAAAAATATCCCTAGTTATCATAGGCAAAGAAGAGTTTGAGCTTGGCCAGGGTGCGGTGCTGTATAGCCTGGGGAGATGAGGGGGAGGAAGCAGGCTGGAGGAATGGCCCCATGTCTGAGTTTCTAGGAGCACGAAGAAGGTAGTCCTTGCTTTTGCTGTCCTGGTATACAGGGGTGGGGCTGGGCAGCTTAAGGTCTCTGCCTCAATTGCAGAGCACAGAGAAGTGCCGTCTGCCATTTCTCCTGCTTGCATTTTCTAGGCATACTTAGCAAGGACACCTGCTTATTTACTTGTATATAACCCAAAAAAGGGAGGTAAACAACCTAGACATGGCCTAAATGGGACACAGATGTAAGCAAAACATCTTGTTGACTTCAAAATGTTCAAGGCCTCATCAGTTGCTTAGATTAAGGAAGGATGAAAATGAGAGAAAAACTTAGGCAATTCTGTAAGCTTTCTTTCCCTAGGAATCCTGATTAAAATCCAATCACAGACGACTTCTCAGAAAGTTCCAATATATGGAGTGCTTTCCACAATAGATCTGGCCAGTGGTTACTTGGAAGAAGGTAATGGGGAAAATATACAATATTAATCCTTCCTAAATGTTGCTTAGTGGAGCAAATACCAGTCTCTCAAATGGGTAACACAGGAATTTCATCTGGAACAAAAGCCCATAGTTATAAAAATTCAGTAGTGAGGAGAAAAAGGAAACAAAACTAGGTTGAATCATTAATCAAAGACTGTGTGTATGGTTTATGCTTTTTAGGCCCAATGGTAAATAAAAAGTAGGAAAGCATTTTCTTTTTAATGCATGTAACCAAGATACTAAACAAAACTGTTGAGTATAGATAGTTCAAAGTGAATGATTTTCCTAAAATGCTAACAAAACTAGAATCAAAAACTAGAATAAAATCCACAAATACTATAATCAATAAATGAATGCATTTTACAAAATAAAATATTTCCCTCAGAAAGTTGAGTGAAAAAAAATATGTAAATAGCTTCGGTTTTTATAGGTAAAGCTTTTAATCTCTGGCACATAACAATTGAAAGAATTCTGAGAAATTAGACAAAAGTATTTGGTGGATTTGAGTTAATGGGCCAAGCAAGCTTTTTTTCCTTGGCTTCTCTGTCAAACGAATCATAGATTGAGTCTTTGGTTATAGTTTTGGCCATGGGAGGGATTTCTGAAATGCCAACATAGTTTTTTTTGGCCATCCTTGAACTGGTTGTGATAGTATAGGCATTGCTTCGGTAACATTTCATTGAAGACATGCAAAAAGTCTCTTTCATCCCTCTCCTAAAATTGGCATTATAAATTGAATACAGAGTAGGTTTAGAAGCTGAAGAACTAAAGGATATCCATGTGATAGCTGTGAAAACAAGGGAACTTTTCTTATATTCTTGTTCATGGGGGTGCCACAGCTGAGCTACATGAAAAGGCAGCCAGGAGAGTAAGAACAATAGATTTAAAATGAGGAACATCTTGATAGTTTTCACTTTTGTCCTTGGGACAATGTTCATTGTCCTCCTCACTGTTCGGCCATCAGTGCCTATTCTCCAAATATACTTTATGACCTTTTGGTAAAATAAGATTATGAGGACAGATGGAATCACAAAGCCCACCAAGAAGTGGATGATGGTATACATGGTTCCTTTCCAAGAAGAAGGGAGGAAATAGTTACAATGACTGTCCCAGTTGGAGCCATAGAAAAAGAACACCGGGGTCACAAAGGCTGCATTAAAGATCCATGATGCTGTGATCATCTTCTTGGCTTTTTCTCTGGACACCTTGAAGCTCAGAGGATAGACAATGGTGTAGAACCGATCTATGCAGATGGAGAGAAGAACATAGATCTGGACACCTGGAGTGAGATATTGAAAATATCGCACAACCTTGCACATCACACTACCAAGTGTCCACCTTCCAGTGGTGAACTGGAGCAGGACGAAAGGCATGCTGGCAATGCTGATGAGAAGATCAGCACATGCCATGGAGACCACAAAGTAGTTGGTGGTGGACTGAGTCCTCCTACTCCTATGGATGACCAAACAAACCAGGGAATTGCCAAAGACAGAAAACAACCACAGAGTCCCAAAGAAAATGCTGGCTGTGGCCACTTCCCCAGGTTTCAATCCATACTGAAGGTCTGTTCGGTTGCTCATCCAACTGTGCTCCTCATAGAATTCCGTCAGGTCACGGCTTGGTGGAGGTGTGGCTGTTTCAGTGCAGCTGTGGTTTTGAAGGGGCACCAGAAGTGTAGGAATAACCAAAGGTGGCTTGCTGTTATCCATTTTGTGAGCAAAAACCATATTCACTTTTTTTCTCTTAGTTCTGGATGGGAAAAGAAGAATGAGGCCTCCTGTTAAAACAGTGTCATACAGATTGATTACTAAGGCAAACAATCTTACTTGACACTTAAATTGGTTGTCATTTGTCAATGAGTAGGACTTGTGCGTTGGCAGGAAAACATAACTACTCTCCAGAAAAAGTTCTGGTCCCATTTCTTTTTCATTATAAGAGCTGTCTCAGCTGATCCCAGCTCAGGCTTTCTCTGGCCTCACCCTCTCTTGACGCTTAGTCAAATGTGGTAGAATCATACTAAGCCCCACTCCTACACATAGCCTTGTTCCCTTTCCTCACTGAGGATCACAGAGGGTAAGTGATCTCAAATCTGGCTCATGGTAAGGGTGTTACCACCCACTGAAGGGCTGTTGGAATTCCTGGCAAATATGTGGGAAGTTCCTAAATGTCATAACACCAAAATAATGAAGCCGTAAGAGAGGAAAATTTGAGCAGGTGGAAACACACAGATGTTTGCTATGAAAATACCTAACAGGAGTCTCTGAATACAGGCTGGCTGACTACTCAGAAGGACCCTTTCCTTACTTATTGCAGATTTTCCATTACAGCAGCATTATGATAACACACGGAACAGTCAACACTGCAACATGAGCCAGAAGTAGCTCCTAATTTAATGACATGTGAAAATAGCTTGCTTTTACCCAAAAATGATGCAGTTCATGTACTAATAGCTTGCCACCTATCAATGACATTTATTTTGAAGCTATTCTCTTGTTATGGTTTTATAAAACAACATATTGACTGAAGAACATACAAGATATCCTCTAATGAATATAACTAGGTTACTAGGGACCTTATGGCAGTCAGATGATTAAAACCAACAAAATGTAATTGTTGTCATTACTAAGCAACTTTTTAAAAGCTGATGACACTTAGACATAAAAGAATATTATAAAGTTTAGACTTTATTTGGTACATAAGTATTATTTAGTGAGAAAAAAAGATACTTTCTAATGGGTAAAAAGACTGTATAATTGTAGGTCATTCGATTAAATTTGAGGTGATTTTGGTCACAGTCAGAATATAAAGGTTTAATTTGGTCTGAATCTATTAAACAGAAAGAGAAATGACAGCAATTGAATCCATAAGAACCACACCAATGATGGTTATTAAGGTAAAAGATAAGGCTAAACATAAATATTTTTAAAATTTTGCCCACTAAAAGTAAAATTACAGCCACCATATAGCTGAGGTTCCATCAAGCCTATGACACAAGGAGATGTCACGACAGAAACAGGCTCTAGGAAGGACAAGTTTCCTCTTGGTGGGCTCTGTGACTACAGCTCACAAAGAAACATTTCTGAAGTGACAGGCAGGATTAAAGCAAGTTCTGTTTGGGGTTTTTGTTTTTTGGGTTTTTTTTTGAGACAGGGTCTCACTGTGTTGCCCAAGCTAGAGAGTGAAATGGTGTCATCATAGCTCATTGCAACCTCAAACACCTGGGCTGAAGTCATCCTTCTGTCTCAGCCTCCTGAGTAGCTGGAACAACACGCACACGCCACCACAACTGGCTAATCTTTCTATTTTTTGTAGAGATGGGGTCTTGCTATGTTGCTCAGGATGGTCTGCAACACCAGGCCTCAAGCCAGGCCTCCTCAAACTACGGCCCGTGGGCCACATGAGGGTGTTTTTGCCTGTTTGTTTTTTCACTTCGAAATAAGATATGTGCAGTGTGCATAGGAATTTGTTCATAGTTTTTTTTAAACTATAGTCCGGCCCTCCAACAGTCCGGGGGACAGTGAACTGGCCCCCTGTTTAAAAAGTTTGAGGACCCCTGCCCCAAGCAATCCTCCCACCTTGGCCTCCCAAAGTGCTAGCATTACAGGCATGAGCTACTGCACCAGGCTTAAAGAACAGTTCTTAAATAAAGAACACTTCTTAACAACCAATTTTTTTCCTTGAAGAATTTTTGCACTAATTTATGGTAGGGAGAGGAATGTCAATATATATTGTCTTCATCAAGAAACTATCTTTCAGCTGGGCGTGGTGGCTCACACCTGTAATCCTAACACTCTGGGAGGCCGAGGTGGGCAAATTGTTTGAGCTCCGGAGTTTGAGACCAGCATGAGCAAGAGCGAGACCCTGTCTCTACCAAAAGCAGAAAAAATTAGCCAGGCATGGTGGCGTATGCCTGTAGTCCCAGCTACTTGGTGGGAGGCTGAGGCAGAAGGATCACTTGAGCCCAGGAGTTTGAGGTTGCTCTGAGCTAGGCTGACGCCACAGCACTCTAGCCGGGGCAACACAGTGAGACTCTGTCTCAAAAAAAAAAAAGAAAGAAAAGAAATGAAACCATCTTTCAACAGAAATCTGGCACTCAGGGCAATGTACTGAATGCCAGTTCCATATTATCTTCAGGCTTTTTTTTATGTCTACGAGGCAGCACTAGTTAAGCTCTCAAAGGGAAATGTAAGATAACTGAACAGCTTGACTACTAAAAGACCTTAAAGTATGCTGCCCAAATAATAGCCAATGGTCAAAACAGCAACCATACTTTCCATATGAAAAATCAAGATACACACTCTGAAAACAGGACGTAAGATCTAAAATCAGCACTGTTCTAGAAAATTTAGAATGTATGACCCTCATACTTACAAAATTGCAATAATCTTTTCACCTTTATATGGGTAAAATCCACAAGTTTTTTTTAATTATTGCAGTTTTATTATAAATTTCAAAATTAGTTATTTCATGTGCTTGAGACATAAAATTTAAATCATGACTATAAGTACAAAGATGCACATCGGTACCTTGACAAAATCCTGAAACATATTTTTAAACCAAGTTTCCTGTTTTTACAACATACTGAAAAACTAAGTTCATTTTTAAAAAGTACATAGGAAAATATAATGGTTAATGACTTCAGCATTCTCTTCTTAAATATATGGAATTGAAGGTAGGTTACTTAACTGTTTATATCATTCAAACATTTATATACAATGCAGCAAATATATTCATATTATAGCATTTTCCTTCAGTTAATAGTCTATTCTCTATGACAAAAGCTCCGTGAAGGGTCATTACTTAAGGAACTCTCCAGGCTAAAATCACAATTAAATTTTGAACACTTGGTGAAAGGAACACGAAAATGCCAGGTCCTGGTACAATGAATAGATATAAATAACCTAGAAGGTGGTATATGTCACATAAAGATGATCTAAATTTAGCAGCACACTAAACTTTTGGGTAAGTGGTACCATACTCTTATAAAGAAATGTCTTTACTATTGAGGGCACTGGGTCTCTGGAGTTGATTTGGACAAGAAGCATAGGATTGGTTGTGATGTCTTACAAGCTTCCTTTTCCAATTTGCTTGCAGTTTCTTTCCCTTCAACTTCTGTTAGAAGCTCTGATTCAGCAGCTAACCTGGGAGAGTTAGGGATGTTTCCACTTCTTTCACTTAAGGCTTCAGAGTCAGCTGGAACTCCTATGAGTCTCACACATTTCTTTTTCTTCTTTAGCTACATATCCATGGGCAGATTCTTGTGAGTTGAAAAGACTGACAAGTAGTGTGTTTATAGAAATTGATTTTTCTAACTGCAATTCTTATTTTCTAAAGTATTAGGGCTGTGTCTCTTCTTTCTAAAGTGATAATCTATAAACTTCTCCTATAGCACTGTTGTTGGCACATCCATCCTTAGAGGTGGTTATAGCCACCTCTTATAGTTTAGCTCTGTTTTCATATTTTCACTTTCTGAAAACTAGAGGCATCTTTCAGTTGCAAAAAGTTTTCCTTCAATATCCAGAGCACTCTGGCCCTGAAACAATGCCTTCATTTGCTATTTGGACAACTCACCTTTAGTGCTTTCATTTTCTTTATCAAGTTTTATTATATGAAGGAAATCTGTATAATAGGTGTTATCTTCTAGTGCACCAGAGCTGGCTAAGGCTTAGGTTCCATATTTTCATATAAATTCTTAAATTTCTCCAGATTTCTAATTTCACCAGATGTTTTATTTCACTATTCTTCTGCTCCAACATGGTAAGCAACCATTCTTGCTGCTCAAATTCAGTTTGAGACCCTTTCATTTGTAAAAATGTGGCAATTTGTAACTTTATTCTTTGCATCTGTTCTCTATTAAATACATTTTGCTTCTTTAGTGACTGATACTTGACTTTCATACTGATAAATTGATCTTCCATTGCAGCCCTTCAATCTTCCACCTCTGGCAATAAAGGAGCTTCTTTTACTATTGGGATCCAAGGCTTGCTGGAGTGCCTGGTCCAACTGCGCCTGAAGATCTTGATTTGCTACATGAACTTCTCCAGGACATTATACCAAGAAACTGCTTCTTTTTCCCCTTCTTTTTCTTCTTTGAGCAGGTCTATCTGGCACATGAAGTTAGTCATCAGAAGTTCTAGCTATTCTTGTCTGTCTGATACTTCATTCCCTTTCTGAGGGTGGTCTTTATACATTCCAATTCTGTCAGCTCAATTTGAAGAGACAATATCTCTGAAGACCTAACTTTAATGTACACGCTCAGACGTTATCCGCAGTTCCTCTGATTTACAAGAGAGGAGTACCTTGTGATGATTTACTTGGTGCTTCAGTTGCTTTTCACTAAGCCTAGTTTCATTTAATTCCACTTTTAGTTCTTCTATCTTATTTTTTTCTTCATTCACTTCCTGCCCCCCATGGCTTCTGCTTAGTTGTTGTTCTAATTTCTCCAGGTGTATCTTTTGCTGTTGTTTAATAGCTTCACATTCGCCGCTCAAACTTTCCAACATTCCTTGAGTTCAACTTCTTCTGAAGAGCATATTTTTCTTGTTCATAATTCTCAGTCATGGTCATCATTTCATTACACTTTATCCAATTGATTCTGCAATTCGTTTGGCCCTCCACTAGTTAGTTGCAAACCGTACTGTGCAGCTTTTAGTCGCTCTTCTTCACAACCTCTTTGAGCTTACATCGAAGGTTTATAATTATATTTCCTTCCATTGTATTTTTCCTGTTTTTAGCTTACTCCCTCCACA